ATTAGTTATCTGTAGGTATGATGATTGGTTAGCTGGTAGGTGTGTTGATTGGATATTTGGTAGGTAATAGTTCATTGGTTACCTTCTGGATGGTATTATTTCTTGGTTGGTGAGTTGTGTGATTGGTTAGTTGGTAGGCCCAATGGGTGATTGGTTAGTTGGTAGGCCCAATGGGTGATTGGTTAGTTAGTGGATGGTGTAACTGCATGGCTAGTGAGCTGGCTGATTAGTTAGTTGGTAGGTAATGTGTGATTGGTTAGTTGGTAGGTAATGTGTGATTGGTTAGTTGGTAGGTAATGGGTGATTGATTAGTTGGTAGATAATATTCGATTGGTTAGCTACTAGATGCTACGATTGCTTGGTTAGTAAGTTGGGTGATTGGCTAGTTGGTGCGTAATGGGTGTGGCCCTACGCGCGCTCTTAAACCTTTGGGGAATGATCACGTGATGGGGGGCCGTACGCCATTTCGTGACAAGGCCGTACAAACCCTTATCTTCCCGGCTTGAAGTTCCGCGCGCTTTTATCAAAGAAATGGCTGGCTGTCATATGATAAAATGCTTATTGACTGAGTTAGGTCAGGCCCGACGGGAAAATATTTGGCTCTCGGTCATTTGTACGGACCTCGCTGCGCTCGATCCGTACGGCATAACCTCGAGCCAAATCTTTTCCCGTACGGCCCTCCCGCTCAGTCAGTAAGTACATTTAACAATTAGACCTCGAGGTCGAGTGGACTACGAGCTAATAGCCCATGAGGCCGAGTCAAAACTCATCAATACTACAGTTTCATGTGTGAGTCATGCATTCCCTGKTGCAGCATCCGAATAAATCGAAATCCATCTGAATGTCAATTGTCACCGATTTGAGTAAACTATGCTGGAGAAAAAGCAATAGCGAAACTTAAAATTGATTTTTGATTGGTCTGYCAATTTTACTAGGAAATTGCATGGACTAAAATGGTGAGATTCAGACAATGAATTGAAGGAAATTCAATTAGTTATACAGTATRTTCAAGACCAGTCAATTTTTAAGTTTTTAAGAAAATTCAGCAGTGAAATAATCGTCAGTTCATCTTCTGGAAGTAAGCAAACCACGTGACTTCTRGAGAGACGTGAACAGACTGACCGTGAAAATAGAAGAATTATTAACGGGAATCCACACAAATGTTTGCAGCTGCCGATCAATGTCGACCATATCTAAGTTTCTTCAAATGTTTCCTTGTTGACCTTCGTTGTTTATTGAGATTCGATTGCTGCGAGGGCAACACTGCATCACGCGCAAGATTTCTCTTTTTATTTCGCGCATACGAAACGCGTAAACGACAGAATTGATGAGTGAGTTGCCATATTTAAAGAATCGTGCAACTCTTATCATAAGAGATTTATTTCGATGAGTTGAAATGCTGTAAGCAACCACTAAGAGCTGATAGGGCAGCCACATGACTAGGCTTAGAATAGTAACAACAGCAAGAGTGACAGTTAGTTTCTTGTTTTCCTGGACATTAGCATCATGAGCCTGAGTGGTTGTGCTACAGCGGACTTTCAGAACGATGAGAAAATAAGCAGTWAAAATAACCACAAGCGTGAAACCAATAAGAACTATGATGATACAAGATGTGATCATACCAACCTTGAAAACTATGTATGGACCAATCACGATGAGTGGAGCAGTCCACATCAAAACTATCCCAATGACGTACGGGCCGTTACCTAATGTGGAGTGTCTGAATGGAAAGTATGTTGCATGAGCTCGTTCAATGGCCAGCGCTGCCAAACCAAATAATGACGCCGATCCAAATAACGAGTCTTGTACTAAGAAAGACTGTTCGAATAAGGATGAGTTTTCACTGAATGTAAAAACAATAAACATAGGAACAGACACAA